CTACTCCAGTCAACACGAATGGCTATGCTTTCTGTCATTCCGTGGCAAAATCCTGAAATTCAGAACTGATGCCACTTCCTTCTCGATCAAGTCACAATTCTAAAATAATTTTAATCAACTTGTTCAGATATATTATGAAACGCCTCTGTGAGATTTGAATCTAGACCTTTGGGCCCAAAGGTACGGACACTACCACCACTCTGCAATAGCCCCTGAATCTGCAACATTATTCTCCTGTGTGTTTGCTCATCAACCTGTTCTGATATGCTGTCACACGCCTCTGCAGCAGGCAGGATTTGAATCCAGAACTTCTGTTCCAGAGCTTGGGACATTACCACAGGTTCAGGGATGGGAATCAAATCCAGCGCACTGCCTCAGTGGCATGGGCGCTACACACTGCACAAGACCTAAACCATGTCCAGATATTAGGTCACGTTTTAAGTGCCAGCATTCAGCTAAGTTTGGATTTCTTAAATTCTGGTCAATTTTACTGATTTACACAGGGAACATTTTTTATTGTTAAACAAATTCAAGGTATTTGCATCAACTCTCGGATGTTAAGTGCATATGCTCTGCCATCGAGATAAACTATTGACATCTTTAGTTGCTTGGCTATGATTTCCAGTTCAATGACTATTATCTGTAGACTGCTCTGTTAGGGAAAGAGATCCTGCAGACACACTCTGCACGATGAAGGATCTCGAATAGATATAATTACTGAACACCAGAGACAACGAAAGAGCATAATTTCCGGCCCCAAAAGACCGTCTTGCATATTACTATCTCTCGCCTCTAACGTGTGACTGCCCTGTCCCTAAAACCATTAAATGTTACAAGGCAATAAATTATATTGCAGCGTCTCCTCACCACTGGCTAGTCTGTTATCCACACCCCTCCTCCTCCTGTCCGCACAAGGCAAACCAAGCTCAGGGTCTTTGGAAAAATAAAACCTGGAGTTTGGAGGCCTTCTGGAGAGAGGACGGTCATTGAAAACATGAAGGGATAGTCTGGTGGGTGGGAATATCACTCACTGGGCTGTGGTATGGCAGATGCTGTTTAATTTGGATAAATGCAAGATATTGCATTTTGGTAAGACAAATGAGGGCAGGACTTACACGATTAAAAGTAGGGCCTTTGGTAGTGTTATAGAAGAGAGACACAAATAGACAAGGTGGTTAAGAAAGCATTTAGTACGCTGCCTTCATTGCTTAGACCTTTGAGTTTGTGACATTAAGCAGGAGAGGCTTCAGAAGTCATTTCCGAAGATGCTGCTGGGAATGGATAGTTTGAGTTATAAGGAGAGGCTGGATAGGCTGGGACTTTTTCACTGGAGAGTTGGAGATTGAGGGGTGACTTTATAGAGGCTTATGAAATCATGAGGGGTCAGGTATGTTGAATGACAGATGTATTTCCCTGGGGTGAAAGATTTCATGATTAAGAGAGTTTTTTTTTAAGTTTAGAGTAGTAAAGATTTTAAAAAGACATAAGGGGTAATTATTTTCCACAGAGAGTCGTTTGTGGGTGGAATGAACTTCCAGAGGAAGTGGTGGGAGTGGATGCAGTTACAACTTTTAAAATACATTTAGGTAAGTACATAAATATGAAATTAGTTTGGATGGTGTGAGTTCCCTCCCGCCCACCCAGTTCTGATGGTTCTCATCCTCTGCCGCTCCCTGTGCAGTGGCGTGTGGAGACCAGCAGAGGGTGGCATTGCAACACTTCAAACACCACAGAGACACACAGATACACACACAAATACACCAATACTGACACAGATAAGGGGAGCCTATCAGGATTTCACTTGCTCTGTGGTTTGTCAATATTTCATTCACTCCGCCTGGTGTGTGTCAGGATTTCTGTTTCTCCATTGACAGCATTTCATTATTTGACTCACTCTGTCAGAGTATATCAGTACTTGCTCACTGCAAAATACTGAGTGTGACAGTATTGCAGTTGTTCCATGGGGGCTGTGACTCTATGACAATTTCAATGCTGTATTATTGAAGATGTCAAGGCAATTGGGGACAGTAATAACTATCATAGCCTTAGCTTCAGTATCTGAACTGTTTACAGGAGGAGGTGCAGAAGGGACACTCTGTACCGTCTTCCTGGGAGCTGGTGAAGACGATGTGCTCTGAGCCCACGCTCCTGCCCACCGAGACCGTGGGGATTCCATTTGTACCGGCTCGATATAAAAAGGAGATCGCGTCAGGGACACGGTTTCTAAGCTGTGCCAGGTGGAAATGGAACTGACAGTGGGTTTAAAGTGAGATTTACCCTTCACTGAGCATTGCTCCTCACTCAGTTGGTGGGACATGGATGTTTTGGAATTTCCACACACGTTTCTCTCCGGCTCGTACCAGGGTCCTCTCCGCATGGTGGGGGGAGGTGGGTGAGGGAACTGACGTCGGACACTCCACCACCCGGCTTGGCCCTTTCTGTCCTATTCCAGGCTGTTTCTCCTGGAATGAGAGAAAGGGAGGAAGCGAGTGAGGGTCAAAGTGGATGGTCCTGCTCTTAGTGATGGTGTAGGTGGGGGGGAAATGGTGAGGTGGCTGGAGTGAGCCAGTCAACAGTGTTGAATCCATGCACTGTTTTCAGTGTAGGGGAGTAGCGGAGGCATGAGAGAGAAAGAGAGAGAGAGCAGAGAGAACACGGTGACACTTATCCTGGCCGAGCGGGGAAGGTTACTGATGCCTGTCCTTTATTGCTGGGCATTTCTGCAGACAGCAGATACTGCACTGAGCTGGGTGGTGAGCTCAGACCATGCTTGATGGTTCTGGTGGGTTGGACTCCTCTGGGATGAGAATGGTTCTTCTCTATACTAGCCCATCCACCAGGACCTCCATGCCCCTTTCGACAAATCGTGGTACAATTTCCCCGTATCTGCCAGTCTCGGGATAAACCGTGCAGGGCGTCTCCGAATTAAGAAAGGTCAACTGTGTGCCCATTGGCCTTTTAAAGGTGGCACCTGCGCCATGGATAATGGAATAGCTGGGCCATCCAGGCGATGGGAACTATTACCTCCATGATGGGTGGGAGAATCAGGCTGGCATTAAATAAGAGGAATGGCATGTGCTGGGGTAGGTCGATAATGAGGGGAGTTTGATAAGATAGCATCAGAAAACTAGCTCGGCCTCCTGCAGACTATCCCTCTGTCACACTCAATGACACTGAGACAAATTATTGTTAGATTCTAACAATGGGCTGCAAGTTTCCCCAGGCTGGGCAGTGATTTAACACAGCGTTACCGAACACTGCACTGGGGTGGTCTGTACAGATCTACACGCTGGGAGGGTAACTGCTCTGGGTTTACAGATCAGTTCAGTGGTGTTCACTTCACAGCCCCCCGTGCTGGAGAGATACCTGGTCCGTATTTATCGATCAAGGCACTCGTATGGTCTGCACAGCTCTCCACACTGGACAGGCATCCAGTCCGAGTTCTCAATCAATGCACTGGTGTGGTCTGCACAGTTCCCCGTGCTGGAATGATATCTAGTTGACTGGTGAGGCCTTCACAGTATCCCACTCTGGACAGATTGCCGGGTTGTATTGAGCAGTATCCTGGCCTGGTTTCCACAGTGGTCCAGGCTGAACAAATATCTCATCTGGGTTTGTGGTGTCTGGGCTGGTTCTGTGAGGTGGATTGAGAATGTGAGATAACTGACCACTTCAGCTGATCTGGCAATGCCTTTTATTTCTGTTCACATTTTTATGATTAGGCCCTAAAGACTCTCACTCCATTAATTTACAGTGTGACCATGCACAGTACATCATGTTGGTGAATACCCTCTTCATTCAGAAGCAGGCAGCTATTCCCATCGTCTTCGGGTCTCCGTGTAGAAATATAGGACGGCCTGTCGGATAAAGGTCACTCCCTTGATACGTGGTTCAATATCCCCTCCCACTCACCACACCCCACCTCCAACCAACCACATCAAAATATCCCGTGTGTGGTGAGAGCAATGGGTTCAATGGGAACTTCAGGGAGCAGACCATCAGGGAGATGGAGCAACACTCCCGATGTCTGAACGGGTCAGAGTGAAAACTCTAGTACACACTTTATCGCTAAGTCTGGTAATCTCTCTTCATTACCAATGTTATGATGGAAATGTTTCCCTCTTTATTGGGAACTAAATATCCAAGATGTTTTGTATTCAGAAGTGTTACACGAAATGAAAAGGAGGTGGGGGAGATCTCTGAATAAGGGATGATATTTGTATGAGGACCTTCCATCAAATGATGAAGGTATTGTTTTAATCTTTTTTTTTGTGCGAAATGCCAGTTGAGTTGAGTTTGGGGAGAGATTTCCAACGCGAGGCTGAGTGGATCTCACCAAAACTGATGGACAGAAGGGCCTTAGTGATGTGAATCTTTATGACTCCATCACATTCTATAACCGACATTCCCCGGAACATTCTATAACTGACATTCCCCGGAACATTCTGTAACCAACATTCTGCGAAACATTCTATAACCGACATTCTCTGGAACATTATGTAACCGACATTATTTGTAAACGGCCGGACATCAGTTAATTGAACAAAAGACAAGATCCCGAGGAAAAAGATCCCGCTCCAGGGAGAAGGAGACACTGTTTCAAAATCCCCTCAGGCAGTTAAAGAGGTTAATACATTTTCTCTGAGTTCACAACCGATAATTGACGAGAATTTAGACGAAAAGACAGAAATTTCCAACCTCCGTTTGTTTTCAAGGAACTGGGAGAGAATCCTTCAGGACTCTGTAATGATCGAGTGTGTGGGAATGTTCTAGAAATCATCTGTTCTTATGGATGTGCGTTTGTGTCTTTAGGGAGGGAGAGTTTCGTGTAATTTACGTCACATTCCTTGTAAAAAAATTGAGATCTTACTATTTGTTATTTCAGCTTCTTTTTTTTCAATAAATCAGTGTTACATTTCAAAATGTCACTGAGTCCTCAATCAAACTGGTAACTGTGCCTCCAGGCTGATATATATTTTAATTGTTTTCCTTCCTCACAGTTAACGTAGTGACGATCTACGTCCTGCTTTATAAAGATTGTGGATTGTCTCCATGTGTCAGACGTTACCTGGGGGCCATGGCAGTGGCAGATCTACTGGTCATTATTTTCGACCTGATATTGAGACAAATTCCCATTGTTTATGACGAACAGTTTGATTTCCTGTTCTCCATCCCCGTGTGTAATATCCACGCCGTCCTGCTTTATGCAGCCACTGACTGTTCTGTCTGGTTCACCGTCACTTTCACCTTTGATCGATTTGTTGCCATTTGTTGCCAAAAGCTGAAAAGTAAATATTGTAGCGAGAAAACGGCGGCTGTGGTTCTGGGAACAGTGACTGTGCTGAGTTGTTTAAAGAACATTTTCTGGTATTTTATGCTCACAGCTCGCTATCAGCTGCTGTACCTCCCCTGGTTTTGTTATGTAACAGTCGATGTTTATTCCTCTCATGTCTGGGCCACAATCGAGTTCCTCCACCACATTCTAAACCCAGCTCTCCCATTTCTCCTGATTCTGCTTCTCAATGTTTTCACCGTCAGACACATTTTAGTGACCAGCAGAGCCCGCAGGAGACTCCGAGCTCACATCAATGGGGACGGTCAGTGTGACACAGAAATGCAAAATCGAAAAAAGTCCATCATTTTACTGTTTGTGATCTCGGCCAATTTCATCCTGTTGTGGTCGACATTAATGCTATTTTCTATTTGGTACCGGATGTGGAATATTGGATATCAGGCTGTGCATCTAGACAACTTCGTGCAGGATTTGGGATTCATGCTGCAGCTCCTCAGTTGCTGCACAAACACTGCGATTTATGCCGTGACCCAGACGAAGTTCAGACAGCAGCTGAAGAATGTGCTGAAACATCCCTTTAACCAAATTCACCAATCAATCAAATTCACTCATTAAACAATTCATTCAGGATGTTCTCATTTCAGTTTAATGTTTCAGCAATGAAGCAGCCGGTCACCTATGCAACAGACTGAGGGCGAAGCTGTTTTGTCCAACGTTATTCCCCACAGGGTTAAAGGAACACATTTCAATGTTCCTCTCAGCTTAGGGGTCAGTGAGAAAACGCACCATTCCACTGACTGTATCTATCACTTCAATTTGTAAATAATAAAAATGTTCATTAAAAAGTGTCAAGCAGCAGAGTGAACTATATTGTTGTTTGTCTTTGTGTTGGAGAAGCTGATCTGGAGAGAGACAGTCTCAGCCCCAAGTCCTAGTCCTCAGGGAAGGGGAGGGGACTGGGGCCGAACTCAAGAGTTTTGTTTAAATCACTCTGTTCTTGCATTCACCTCTGGGTAACCCACTCTGACCAAGCCTATGCAGAATCCATCTCTCTCTCTCTCTCATTACCTCTCCCTCCACATCTTCCTCCCACTCTCATAATGTCCCTATCTCTCATTCCTCCTCCATTGTTTGTGCTTTTTACAATGTCCTTCCCTCTGCCATTCTTCTTCACAGTCTCTCACTCCTGCAGATTCTCTACCTGTCAAACTACCTGTGTTCCACTTGCCTCAGACTCTACATATCTTCCGTTGCTAGGACAACAGAGTACATTTTGGTTCACAGGCCGTTGAAAGGTCAACAGATTGGGGTGAGTTCAAAAGGTCATTGTTAGGGGAACAGAGTGGGAACCAGCTCATAGCCATTTGTTACAATACCAGAGTGGGGTTGGGTTCACAGACCATGATTGGGCAATAGACTGGGAATGGGTTCAAAAGGCTGCTTCTCGGACAACAGAATGGGAATGCATTCACAGACTTTTGTTCGGGGGTACAAACTAGGGATTCGTTCATAGGCTGTTCCTGGGGGATAGGTTCACATGACATTACTAGGCGAACTGACAGATGATAGATTAACAGTCCATTGCTCTAAGCTCTGAATAGGGGATAGGTTCTAAACCATTGCTCGGAGAATAGATTTGGGATAGGTTCACAGGCCGTTGCCGGAGGGAAAATGGGGATGGGTTCACAGGCGGTTTCTAGAGGAACAGAGTGGGTATGGGTTCACAGGCCATTGCTTGGTGTTCAGAGTGGGGATGGGTTCATAGGCCGTTGCTGGGAGAAAGGAGTGGAGATGGGCTCACAGGACGTAGCAAGGACAACCGAGTCGGGATGGGTTCATAGGCCGTTGCTAGGCGAGCAGACGGGTGATCGGTTCTAAAGGCCATTGCAATGAGATCAGAATATGGATAGGTTAACAGGCTTTTGCACGGGAAGAGAGTTGGGGTGGTATCACAGCCCATTGCTAGGAGAACAGGGTGTGCATGGTTTCACCGGCTGTTGCAAGGGGAACACAGTGGGCATGGGTTCACAGGCCGTGTTACGGGGAATGTAGGGCAGGAAATTGATTCACGGCAGATTCACTGGATATAAATTGTCCCATTGGGAACACCCAGCATGGGTTCATGAAGGATAGGTTATGTTTAACTAATGTGGTGGAATTCTTTGAGGACTTCACTTGCATGGTGGACAATGGGGAACCTATGGATGTGATGTATCTGGATTTCCAGAAGGCATTTGACAAGGTGCCACACCAAAGGCTGCTACATAAGATAAAGTTGCAGGTAATGTATTGGCATGGATAGAGGATTGGTTGACCAGTAGAAAGAAAAGAGTAGGGGTAAATGGGTGTTTTTCTGGTTGGTGGTCAGTGGCTAGTGGTATGCCTCAGGGATCACTGTTGGGACGTCAATTGTTTACAATTTACATCGATGATTTGGAGTTGGGGACTAAGTGTGGTGTGTCAAAATTTGCAGATGACACTAAGGTGAGTGGTAGTGCAAAGTGTGCAGAAGACACTGGAAGTCTGCAGAGGGATTTAGATAGTGTAAGTGAGTGGGCAAAGGTCTGGCAGATGGAGTACAATGTTCATAAGTGTGAGGTCATCCATTTTGGTAGGAATAACAGCAAAATGGACAATGTTTTAAATGGTAAAATTTGCAGCACGCTGCTGTGCAGTGGGACTTGGGTGTCCTTGTGCATGAATCGCTGAAGGTGGGATTGCAGGTGCAGCAGGTGATTAAAAAGGCAAATGGAATTTTGTCTGCCATTGCTAGAGGGATGGAGTTTAAAAACAGGGAGGCTATGCTGCAGCTGTATAGGGTCCTGGTGAGGCCACATCTGGAGTATTGTGTGCAGTTTTGGTCTCCTTACTTGAGAAGAGATATACTAGCACTGGAGGGAGTGCAGAGGAGATTCACTCGGTTGATTCCAGAGTTGAGAGCGTTGGATTATGAGGAAAGACTGAGTAGACTGGGATTATACTCATTGGAATTCAGAAGAATGAGGGGAGATCTTATAGAAACATATAAGATTATGGAGGGAATAGAAAAAGTGGAGGCAGGGAGGTTGTTTCCGCTCGAAGGTGAAACTAAGACTAGAGGGCATTGCCTCAAAACAAAAGGGAAGCAGATGTAGGACTGAGGTCAGGAGGAACTTCTTCACCCAATGGGTTGTGAATCTGTGGAATTCCCTGCCCAGTGAAGTGGTTGAAGCTACCTCATTGAATGTCTTTAAGGCAAGGCTAGATAATTTTTTTAACACTAAATGAATTAAGGGTTATGGTGATTGGGCGGGTAAGTGGAGCTGAGTCTCAAAAAGATCAGCCGTGATCTTATTAAATGGCGGGGCAGGCTCGAGGGGCCAGATGGCCCACTCCTGCTCCTAGATCTTATGTTCTTATGTAGTTGCTTGGGGTGGAGTGGTGATGGGTTCACAGGTCATTGTTGTGGGAACAGTGTAGGGATGGATTCACAGGCCATTGTTAGAACATAAGAACATAAGAACTAGGAGCAGGAGTAGGCCGTCCGGCCCTTCGAGCCTGCTCCGCCATTCCATAAGATCATGGCTGATCTTTTCGTGGACTCAGATCCACTTACCCGCGTTCTCACCGTATCCCTTAATTCCTTTATTGTTCAAAAAAAATCTACCTTATCTTCAAAAACGTTTACTAAAGTAGCGTCAACTACTTCACTGGACAAGGAATTCCACAGATTAACAACCCTCTGGGTGAAGAAGTTCCTTCTCAATTCAGTCCTAAGTCTGCTCCCTCTAATCTCGAGGCTATGCCCTCGTGTCCTAGCTAAACGTGCCAGTGGAAACATCCTTTCTACTTCTATCTTATTTATTCCCTTCATAATTTTATATGTTTCTGTAAGATCCCCCCTCAATCTTCTGAAATACGGAACAGTGTGGGGATGGATTCGTAGACGGCTGCTGGGAGAACAGATTCGAGATGGGTCCTCAGTCCATTGCAAGGGGAACACAGTGGGAATGTGTTCACAGGCCGTTGTTGGGGATCAGATTCGGAATGGGTTCAAAGGAAATTTCTAGGGGGACACAGTGGAGATGAATTCATAGGCCATTGCTATGAAAACAGAGTTGAGGATGGGTTCAAAAGGCCGCTGCAAGAAGAACAGAGCGGGGAAGGGTTTACAAGGCATTGCTCGTAGAACAGAGTGATGCTGGGTTCACAGTCCCATGCTTGGAGAACAGATTACAGATAGGGGTCAAAGACTGTTGCTGAAGGAACATAATGAGTATGGTTCACATGTTCATATTAGGAGAATAAAGTGGTGATGTGTTCACAGGCCATTGCTAGGGGAACAGTTGAGGATGGATTCATAGGTTGGCGCTGGGAGAAGAGAGCAGCAATAAGCTCACAGGCAGTTTCCAGGAGAAAAGAGAGAGGATGGGTTCACACGCCTTTGCTTGGGGAAGAGTGGAGATGCTTTCACAGCCTGTTGGCTGGGGAACAGAGTGGGAATGGGTTCTCAGACGGTTGCTCGGGGACGACAGTGAGGAAGGGTTCACGGGCTGTTGCTCGGACATCAGAGTAGGAATGCCTTCTCAAGCTATTGCCAGAGGAACAGAGTGGGGATGGGTTCAAAAGCATTTTTCAGAGAAGAGAGGTGAAAGGTTCAAAGCCATTGCTATGAGAACAGAGTGGGGATGGGTCCAAAAGCCATTATTAGGCGAACAGAGTGGGAAAGGGGTCACAGGCCGTTGCTATGCAAGCAGAAATGTGGTGGGTTAACAGGATGTTGCTCAGAGATCAAAGTCTTTACGAGGTGAACAGAGTTTGGATGGGTTCAAAGGCCATTGCGATGGGTACCAAATGAGGATAGGTTCACAGGATTGTGAACAGATTGTGGATGGGTTCCAAGGACCTTGCCAGGAGAACAGATTAGGGATATGTTGACAGGTCGTTACAAACGAACAAAATGGGGAAGGGCTTATAGGCTCTTAGTTGGGGAAAAAGAGCGGGGACGGTTTCACAGGTTGCTGCTAGTGTAACAAAGTTGGGATGAGTTCACAACCATTGCTAGGGGAACTGTGTGAGGGTGGCTTCATGGGGTGCTGCTAAGCAAACAGATTGGGGGTGGGTTCACAGCCCATTGCTTGGGGTACAGAGTGGGCTTGGGTTCACAGACTGTTGCTCAGCTGTACCGACTGGGGATGGGCTCATAGGCCGTTGCTAGGAGTACGAGTTGGGGATCGATTCACAGGGCGTTGTTAGGCAATGAGAGTTGAGATGGGTTCACAGGATGTTGCTGGGAGAACAGAGTGGGAATGGGTTCTTAGGCCGTGGCTCGGCGAACAGATGGGTGATGGTTTCAATATGCCGTTGCAAGGAGATCAGAATAGGGATGTTTTCACAGGCTGTTGCAGGGGAACAGTGGAGATGGGTCCAAAACCATTGCTGGGAGAACAGAGTTTAGATGGGATCACAGGCCATTGCTAGGGGAACAGATTAGGCATATGTTCACAGGCCGTTGCTCGGGAAAAAACGCAGAAATGGGTTCACAACAGTTGCTTCAGGAAGAGTGGTGATTTGTTCATAGGCCATTGCTGTGGGAACAGTGTCGGGATGAATTCATAGGCCATCGGTAGGGGAAC